GAAATCAGTTAATAAGGCAAAACTAAAAATTAATTTTTATATTGAAATAAATACCATAAAAGTTATAGATGATTCCACATTTCGAAAATAATTTTTGGCCATCTGTTGATTTTGCGTGTGTTAAAGGTTAACACTCTTTGCATATGTTTCGCAATTGAACAGCATAAGCAAAGTGTAATAACGCATACACAAGAGTGCGACATAGTCATGATGCAAAACGTACTTTTACGCAATCATAAAAAAATTTTAAATAGAGAGAAGTTATAAAAATTTGATTATAGCTACACTTAATATTCACATCAAAAATTTATTTTAGTCTAATTTTTACGCAAATCCATATCGGTCTTTTGATTGATTGCAATGTTAAAACTTAAATACTTCTAGCTGAAGGAAAATGTCAACATGATGCTAAAATAAATCAAGAAACAAATTATAACAACTGTCAGGGTTCTCTGCTTGGGAAACGAACTTGCCTAGTGTTAGAGTGTGGGTCTTCGGTCCCTAAGGTCCCGAGTTCAGATCCCGTCAATCACCAATGGATTTTATCTATGTGATAATGCCGCTGATCTCTAGGACTAGCCTGAAGTAATGTGAAAAAGGGTTCCATGTTAGAACCTAGCACCCTAGCATGAGAAGGTGGGACATAAAAAGTATACTAATCTCATTTTGTTAGTCATTACAAACAAGTAACTTACTAACGTGTACTAATTACTGTCTTATTAGTGTTAGTTGTTAGTTAACTTCATTTGGTACAAGTTAATAAAAATCAATATGAAAATAGCTTGTCCAATGTAAGACATATGTGATGATGGCGAATGATTATTTTACTCGTGTCAACCTTTCGAAGTTCCATAATTATACAGGGAAGTTCTTAATCAAAAGTGAAAAAGGGAGTTTTGCTTGCGTTGTTAGATGGTCTACCAATGAAAGGTCAGGCCAGCGGATCTGTGTTTGCTGGGTCAGGCCTACAACTCTAATGTTGTTAACTACTTGTTTGCCCACTTTAATTTGCGTCCCTCTCCCTTTTGTGTAACATTTCAAGAGATGAAAACAAACAGTATCGTTAATCTGACACATACTTTCTCCCATTGTCAACAATCTTTGCCATGGGTAAGTGGTGGAGGTAAATATGGTACTTCATAAGGAAAAATCACAATTTGTTTATGGAGAAAATTGCTAAAGGTGCTGTAACTTTCAAGCCGTAATTTTTGCTACAATTAGGGTTGTATGGTTTTGTCTAGGATTATAAGGACAGTTCAATACAAAATTTCAATAAAAATTCTGTCTGCAAGAATACGATTTTCCGTCATTTTATATGGTTTAAAAAATCACATAAGTTAACATATCTTTAGAACCGTATTAAAAAAAAATCCTTTAACTGTTAAAAGACAGTTTTACCGTACAGTTTACCGGAATATGTTGTGGTTTTTCGTAAGGGAACAACTCACATGTAGGTGAAATCAAAATTTAGGAATTTTTGTGTGGTTTGACGTTTAATTTTGATTTAAACATGAACGAATAACAGTCTTAATTGTAGTGTATGTTAATTATAATTTAATAAGTTTTGGGTAATGTTATATGTATACAGCACAAAGGCATCGATGTAAGCTGTTAATTTCTTGATTTTTTTCTTGTTCAATTAGGAACTAACATTCTCACTAATTAAATTCAATAATATATAAAATGAAGGTAACAGTAAATTTTATGTAGATGATAAAAACCTTTTAGGAGTTAACTGCAATCAACGTAAGACAAATTGAGCTAAAATGTATATTTTACTTTCAAAGTAAATTCAATCAAGTCTTAAAAAGTAAGAAACATTCCGGTATATTACATCATAGGTCCCAAGAATAGTCCTGGGCCATGGGAGTGCAAAGTTACATGGGAACTAGAGAACATCATTATACTGTACAATGATAATATATCTCTTGAGAAACACGACCCTCCCTTGTTGTATCACAATGTAGCAACACGTCTTGTTAACCATGTGTTATAACGTATTGTTTTTATGCCACATTATTACTAAGGAAAACCATTTATGGGTTTTTTTACTGATTAAGCTATATTAAATAATTTAACACTAACGTTTTGTGTTTTCTTTCAATATGTACCCTTTAAATCAAATTTAAATACCGTACGTCAAAAAAAGTATTTTATTTAGTATTTATTTTTTGAAAAGTAGTTTATATGACTCTATTAAAACTCTTACTTCGGGCAGATTTTACGGGTTTCCTGAACCACCATAAATTAAAGAATTATACATCTACTCCAACAAAGATAACAAACAATATAACAACTAATCTAATATATAACGGTATAACAAACGATACAAAATTTAATCGTTTAGGTGAATGAATTTGTGTTGAGTTTCAGAGACCTACATTTTGATCTAAGAAGCTGTATTTTCTTTTTGTCTTTCCATTTATTGCTTACAAAAAGACCAAAGAACTCATAGAACTCATATAAAACACTGGAAAGTATAGAAGACACCGTTAACACTGCAATAACTTCAGCCTTTAGTACATAATAGATATGAAAAATTAAAATTTTTGTGTTGAATATGTACCTTATTACAAACGAATATATGAAATAATTGAAAATCTATCGTGAAAACCTATCATTTATTCATTTATACGACTACAATATTGTTTTAGATATTTCAGTGTAACTCCTTTTGGTTGGTCAGCAATCAAGAAAGTTACAATGTTATGACAACATCAGCAATGTGTTTACAAGCCAGACGATCTAGTGGGCGGGTTTTGTTACTTTAGGTCACTACCATCATGGTTTGATTGTTGGTTTTGGAAACTGCGAAAGCTATTCGTTGTTTTAAGCTACGAGGCATTTGGTATTTATATTTTTAAAACTACACTAGTGAAATATTGTTTATTGAAAATGGTACCGTTGCGTAAATGAGTATTGCCATTAACTATATGTAGGTGCCAAATATTTAGTAAACATTATACTGCTTTCTGGGGTAGTAAAAGCTTTGGGATGAATACACATTGTTAACCTGAACAACTTTGTTAATTATTGAGTTTGGCAGCATTTTTGTTTGGATAACATCAGTAGACCCCATGGGAGGATAGGCCAAAATGACCTTGAACTGGGTCATTAACCTTGGGGGTGAAGATAAGCTTGTTATCGTGACCTTGGGGTCAAGATACGCTTGTTATCATGACCTTGGGGTCAAAATAAGCTGACCTTTGGGTCAAGATAAGCTTGTTATCATGGTGTTGACTAATTATGTTTGTCCTTGGAGGTTAAGAGTGTGATGTAGGATGAAAAGTATTTTGTAGTTCTGATTTTGACCACTAGGAGTCTTAGCCACCAGATTGTAGCACTGTAGGTACATTATTTTTCCACCAGATTGTAGTACTGTAGGTACAATCTTTGCCCACCAGAGTGCAGCGTTGAGGTGGTCTAATGAGGCTGAGATTTATATATTTTGTAGCTAGTATAAAGATGAATCAGTATATCAAATCTCAGATTGATACGATGAAAAATAAGCTTAATAAAAAATCCTAAAGTTTGGGGGATGAAGAGTGATTATGGGGTAGCTGTTAGGTTTAGGTTGAAAGTTTTAATTGTTAAAAATATTAGACAGTGCTGGGATACTTTGTAGCAAATATAATAATTTTTCACCCTCTGGTAATTATGTAATAACTGTTTTAGTATAAGGGTTGATAAAAGAAAATCTAGGGGATGATTCTCAATATTGGTTTTTAAATAATGTCGAGTAAACTAGTATTGATTTTTGTACCAAGTTTCAGTGCTCAAACTATTAAAATAGCTGAGCAATAAGGAAAAAACACTTTTAGGGTAGTTTCATCCCTGAGTGAAAATTTGACTATTTTTAGGTGATTTAATGTTAAGAACGCATGAATCTTAAGTTTCAGACATTTTCTATTGAAAATGACACTTTTTATGTTAGGGGTGGTTCAGAGGGTAGTTCACCCTTAAGAGGTATACTATGCCTAAGTGGTAGTGGTTACAAACCACCCTACCAAGTTACAGCTTTAAACAATTTCAAATATCATAGATATGATAAATTATGTTGTTTGTTAACTGCCAACTATATATGGAATGGGGAGTAGTGACTACAAGGAAAAGTGGTTCTTTGAAATGTCGAGGTGAGTGAGTTAATTTAACATGGATTATAAATCTGATTACAAAGTTGGGCCTTGTATTATAATTGACAGTTAGACATCCTGATTGTCGGCTCTTAAATGTGAAGGCCAGTGAGTTTGTTAATCTGGGGCCGGCTTAATGGTTCTAAATTATACAGTCCTTGCTGTCTGTCCTTGTTGTGTAACGACCTACCTGCCTGGCTGGCCTCGACTTATATGACGGTGTATATAAGCGCTCTATTCACCTGAGCAAGATATTCTGGTCTCTGACTTGGTCTGCTTTAGTCCATCTTGGTGTTTTGTCTTTGTGTCTCAGGTTAGTAAAACAAATAAATAGTTTTAAAGTTTTATTATAAAGAGTAAATTAATTATATTACGTTGATTGAACGAAAGTTAAATACTTATTCACTAATTTTCTTTCTTCATCATTGGCATATTATCTGAAACAAACAAGTTACATAACTCATTAGTTTTGTACACTTTTTCAAGTGAGGGTCATCAAGGTTAAGATAACAGTTTCCTGCTGATTGCTTTGTATGCTAATTAGAACTATCTAAGTTTATATTATTTCTGTTGAGCTATTGTCAGTTGGGATACGTTTGAATTTTTGAATTTAAATTGCTATCACAACAGTCATCCGCTGCTTAGGTCATAAGGTTACAAGTATAAATACCGCTAACATTTGTTAACAGTTATCTTTCTGCTGCCAGCTTTATAGGAAGTAACATATTGAATCTTAAAAATATTTTTAAACTGTTTTCTTAAAAAATAATCTATTAGACTTTTTTATTATATATTATAAAATAAATTTTAGTTTTTTTAAAGTTAGTTTATTAATTTTTAAATAGTATACTGTTTCTGGTCTTTAGTATGGATTCAGTTCCAAGCACTTCTGCGGAACCCTTTATTGGGCCTGTTGATCCAGTCAATGTTGTCAACACCAATGAAACGTATGTCAGGCGCTTTAGAGTACATGGCCGCAGGACCACTTTTAAATTTAATTCCCCTCCTGAAGGAGTTTCTGAAATTGATTGGCTTAGAGGTGGCTTTTCTAGCCTTGTTGAAAAAATGAAAGCTGAGTCCGAGGAAGGGGATCAGCTCGGGTTTACTTTGCGAAGTCTAAATTTAAAAAATAAAGAGCCCGGATACGTTGCGTTCCGACCAGCTGCCCAAGTGGATGAGGACGTACTGTGGGAAATTTTTGGCGGAATAGTTCAGAGTAATGCGGAATCAATCACTTCGGCAGATACCTTCCAGGTCGAGTGCACTCGTGTCAATCTCCCTGTAGGCACAGGTAGGGTAAGGCCAGGCATGTTTAACACGTTCAATGAAGAATGTCACAAACGGAAGGGCATTGTTGCTATAAAGAATACTGACAACCTCTGCCTGCCTAGGGCTATTGTGGTGGCAAAGGCTAAGGTTAAAAACAATCCTGAATTTCAAGCTATTCGTAAGGACAGAAGGGGTAGGCAATTGAACAGGGCAAGGAAACTGATGCAGAAGGCTAGGGTGGAAATTCCAGAGGAGGGTGCAGGTATCCTAGAGTTGCAAAAGTTTCAGGACCATCTGAAAAAATACAAGATCACTGTGTATCACTATGACAGGAGGGGCAGAGACGTGTACTTTGAAGGAAACAACCCTGATGCCTCACTAAAAATTAATTTGCTCTTCCATAATGGCCACTACAATGTTATAACTTCATTGACAGCTGCTTTTGCCTGCACCCACTTCTGTGAAGGATGCCACGTTCCGTATAGCAACAAAGGAAACCACAGATGTAACAATATTTGCTCAGCCTGTCAAACCGTCTCTCCACCTTGCATTGAAGAGATGGGTGGTATTGTGTGTCCTGAATGCAACTTAAAATACAAAAATCAGATTTGTTTCCTGGCCCACAAGAATGAGCGCTGTAAATCTGTGAGAAAATGTAAGGACTGTGACAAAATCATCAATCTTAACAACAGAAAGTCAGATCATGTTTGTGGAGAAGTTTTCTGTGTGATTTGTAGGGAATTCTTACCACCTGACCACCAATGCTACATGAAAGTGGACAAAAGAAAGCCCACAGACAAGATTAAAGACTCTGTGTACATTTTCTTTGATTTGGAGACGCGTCAAGACGAACCCCTGGCAACCGACCCTGACTCCAACCTGCATATAGTCAATCTCTGCATTTCTCAACAGTACTGTTGGAAATGTATAGAGGGAGAGGGTTGTGACACGTGCAACGATAGGACAAAAATATTCAGAGAGGACCCTGTTGGTAGATTTGTGGACTATGTTATGGAGAGCAGAAAGCAATTTAAGAATGTGTGTGCAATTGCCCATAACGGTCAGGGGTTTGATTTCCAGTTTATCCTGAAGCACATTATTGAACACACTAAATTCACACCTGAACTGATCATGAGAGGCACAAAGGTGATATTGTTGGAAGTGGACAGTGTACGGTTTATTGATTCCCTAAACTACTTCCCCATGGCACTGTCTGCTCTTCCAAAAGCGTTCGATCTGCCCCCGGAGAAAAAGAAAGGCTACTTTCCTCATCTGTTCAACACGATGGCGAATCAAAACTTTGTCGGTCCTATCCCTAGTAAAAAATTCTACTGTCCTGACACTATGTTTGAAAAAACATACAAGGACTTTGAAAATTGGCACAACGAACAGATGAGTCAAAATTATGTTTTTGATTTTTCCAAAGAAATAGTAGAGTATTGCCTTTCTGATGTTGACATACTGGCCCAAGCGTGTATTAAATTTAGAAAGCTCTTCTTACTTGAATGTAATGTTGAACCATTCCTAGAGGCTGTTACGATCGCGAGCGCCTGTAACCTGGCGTTCAGACGTAACTTTTTGAAACCCAACACTATCGGCTTGATTCCTAAAAACGGATATCGCATGGTTGAAAACCAGTCGGCCATTGCTTTGCAATGGATGACCTGGGAAGAAGGCCAGCGAGATGTGACAATTAACCACGCTGGGCGGGGGAGAGAGAGTAGAATTGCGGGAATGAAAGTTGACGGGTTTGATGGGGAACGTGTTTATGAATTCCAAGGCTGTTACTACCATGGATGCCCTAACTGCTACCCCTACAAACGAGAGGAGCCTCTGAAAGAGGATCCTTCTGACAGCCTACATCTCCGGTATGAAAGAACTAAAACAAAAATTCAAAAACTGTCTGAAACCGCGTATGAGATTGTTGAGATGTGGGAGTGCGAGTTTAAAAAAATCAAACGCGATAATAACTTGTCTTATCTAAACTCTTTGCCTATCTTGAATTTTCTCCCCCTTGAACCTCGCAACGCTTTCTTTGGGGGTAGGACAGGAAACGCCAAGACCTATCACAAGTGTGAAGATGGTGAATCCATCCAATATGTCGATGTGTGTTCCCTATACCCTTATGTTTGTAAGAGAGGGCACTATCCACTAGGACATCCCACTGTACATGTAGGGGACAGAGCCTGCCGAGAGCTTGGACTGGAAGTAAATGGTATTCTGAAATGTAAAGTCCTGCCACCACTGAAACTGTATCACCCTGTACTACCTGCTAGGATGAGTGACAAACTGATGTTTGTTTTGTGTAGAAAGTGTGGTGAGCAGTTGAACCAAGAAGATTGTCACCATAGTAGTGAAGAAAGAGCCCTGACCGGTACGTGGACCATGGATGAGATAAGGAAAGCCGTGGACAAAGGATATGTGATTCTAGACATGTATGAGATGTGGGAATACAAGATGGCCACTTATGAAAACGGAGGGCTCTTTACAGATTTTATAGATAAATTCCTAAAGATCAAACAAGAGGCATCAGGGTACCCTTCATGGTGTGAGACCCCTGAAGACAAAGAGAAGTACGTCAAGGACTATAAAGACCATGAAGGAGTCAGTCTGGATCCCGCCAAGATTGAAAAGAACAGTGGATTGAGATCTCTTGCTAAACTAATGCTTAACTCTTTTTGGGGAAAGTTTGGCCAGCGAGAGAACCAGACAAAGGCGTCGTTGATTAGGAACCCCAAAGACTTCTTTACGTTAATGATAACACCAGGGATACAGGTCAATACCATTAGAGAATTGAACGAAAATGTCCTTCTAGTGAATTGGCAAAACATCGACGAGGTTGGAGAGTCTTTGCGAACAGTGAATGTTGTCCTGGCAGCGTTCACTACGGCACAAGCTAGATTAAAGCTTTACGAACACCTCGAAGCTCTCGGCGGCCAGGTGATTTACTACGACACAGACAGCGTACTCTACATATATAAGCAGAACTTGTACAGGATACCTACCGGTGACTACTTGGGAGAAATGACAGACGAGCTAGCCGAGTACGGTCCGGGCTCCTATATTGTTGAATTTGTTTCAGGTGGTCCAAAGACATACGCGTACTTGGTGTTTTCAACAAATAAAAATGCTTTAGTTGAAGTGTGCAAAATTAAAGGGTTGACACTTAACCTCAACACCTCTAAAAAACTAAATTTTGCCCAATTAAAAGAAATGGTGTTGAGTGAAGCGAGACTTTCAGTTGAGACAACTGAGAGCAGAATTAGAAGGACCAAAGACAAAAATATCATAACGACTAAAGTGAAAAAACTCTTTAGAGTCACTGGACCTAAGAGGAGACTTGAAGGCACATATGACACCCTCCCTTATGGCTACCAAAAAAATCCAAGACTTACCTAATCCCACCATTCAATCTTCTTATGAAGTTCTTTCAGCCTCCTATTCATCTTGTCCACTTTCCTTTCAATTTCCCTATATTCCCAATATGCTTCATCGTCCGCGTATTGGGATGAAAACGGCCCGTACAGTTGCATAAACAGACTCAACACGGTAATAATCATCTTGGTTCAGTTTTACTTTTACGACTGAAGGCTCTTTAATAGCGCGCGCGTTTTTAATATGGTGGGGGAAACGATAAGATAGTGCTCTATCTCATTCGCTTATGTAACGCGGTACAAAGAACACGACGGAGCCATGACGCAAGTTATATCCCTATTTAATATTTGCTTAAAGGAAATTTGGGACAAATATCTCGACTGTGTTTTACTTTTTAAATATTTAAATTTACCTCCTCTAATGTTTGATTTCTTTTTAGAACGTGAATACTTTTGGGCTGACTACCCCATAAGCTTCATGCCGATAGATCTTGCTTGCAGATGTATAAAAGATCCGACTAGTCACTCGTTTGAAGAATATAAAGCTTTAGTTTGCGATTTAAACTCAGTACCTTGTTCTTCACTAAAACTATCACCTCTGAAGCCTTTCACTGGTGTGTAAATTAACAAACAGACTTAATCTAAAGATTTACATACCTGCTGTTGGGTTTTGTTCCTTGGTGGTAAAGGTGGTGGCAAAGTTTTCACTCTTTCATAAATTGGCTCTTCTTTGTGTAGAAATATTACCCGTGTTTTTATTATCGGTTGAGACATTCGATCGATAGAAAACACCCACCCAAAACAGGAAAACGCACACATACTGCTATGGTATAAGAAAGTTGACTGGCGCTGTAACAGCTTGCACTTCACCCCACCCTCAAGTATCGTTATAGCTGTGGTGGCCACCTACGAAGGCAACATACATTGGTCACCACATGCCTGTGTCACCTGTGTAAAGGCTGCAGTTTTACAACACGATGAGAGCACTATAGTGTATCCAAAAAAAACTTTACCCCTAACTTCCTATCCTGTATAGATGCTCACACACGTGACGGCCTATCAGGTGAAACGGATTAAATTCTATAACAACCTGAGAGCACTATAGTGTATCCTAAAAAAGCTTTACCCCTAACTTCCTATCCTGTATAGATGCTCACCCACGTGACGGCCTGTCAGATGATACGAATTAAAGGCCACAATAACATGAGAGCACTATAGTGAATCCAAAATAAATCTTTACCCCTAACTTCCTCTCCTATATGGATGCTCATTCATGTGATGGCGTATCAGGTGGCACAGATTGAATTCCATAACATCTTAAGAGCACTATAGTGTATCCCCAAAAAAAAACTTTACCCCCAACTTCCTATCCTGTATAGATGCTCACCCACTTTATAGTGCAAACAGCTGTTGTGGCTAAAGTCACGTTCTTAAACCATAAAGTGGATTAATCTCTTTAAGCCTAAATTTTGCTACCACCGGTTTTTTAAGGAAATTGTATTTTCATGAAATTCCATAAGAATCTAATTGTTTCTCAAACTGTTCCTTTTTATTAAGTATCGTCAACGATTTTGAGAGCTTTATAAAAAGGGAGAGGGTGTTACAAGGCGACTACCAGTTTCGCTGGACTGGCCATGTAACGCTTAACCTGGGCACACCGTGTGCGAGTATTCTCAAACCATACTCATATAAAGCTTTTATTTTGTATATGTTAGTAGTATAAAAATGGATGTCAAACGTGCTATAGCTGAAGAGCTTCATAAGCCTGCTCGGAAAAATTACACTAGGCGTAAAGTTACTCTTAAAGGTATTCATGACTTATATCAGGCAGATCTTGTAGAGATGCAACCATATGCAAAACTAAATAAAGGATACCGTTATATAATGACCATGATAAACTGTTTTACTAAATTTGCACTTGCTGTGCCGTTAAAAGACAAGACTGGGCTGGAAGTGGTGAAAGCATTGGAACCAATCCTAGCAAAGCATAAAATGAAAAATTTTCAAACCGATGACGGTAAAGAGTGGTTTAATAAACATGTTTCCAAGCTGATCAATAAGTACAATATTAATCATTATTCCACGTATTCAAGGCTAAAAGCTAGTATAGTTGAGCGGTTTAACAGGACACTAAAATCTCGAATGTGGAAACAATTCACAGCAAAGGGGACACATGACTGGCTATCTATATTGCCTGATATTGTTAAGGATTATAACAACACGAAACACCGCACTATAGGAATGAAACCAAAAGATGTTAAACAAAAACATGTAACACAAATATTGGATAAAATAAATAAGGTTAAATTGGGAGTGTATAAACCTAAGTTTAAGGTAGGAGACAGTGTTAGGATAAGTAAAAACAAAAGGGTTTTCACAAAGGGCTATCTACCAAACTGGACGAATGAAGTTTTTAAAATCTATGCTGTCAAACCGACTAAACCCGTCACATATATTTTACAAGACTATAAGGGGGAAGTACTGAAAGGTGGTTTCTATGAGTATGAGATAAGTTTATCTAAAACAGGTGATGTGTACTTTGTTGAAAAAGTACTTCGGCGTAAGGGTGACATGCTTTTGGTACGTTGGCTAGGTTTTGATAAGACACACGACACATGGGTCCATAAGGACTCTATAAAATAAATATGTAGGAGGAAAACTCATCACTTTATGACAAGATGCGTGTTGTAAAACATTCATCACAGCTTCCAATAGAAAACTTTGACTTGTTTGTTGTCGGCACAGGTATGAGTACAGAAAAAAGGCACGGTCCGCTTCTTCCAAGCACAATACGTTGTATTATATGTGGCCCGTCAAACTGTGGCAAAACAAACGTCCTTTTTAATCTTATTTTTGATGTAAACGGATTGAGGTTCAAGAATGTGTACGTATTTTCGAAATCGTTGTACCAACCTAAGTATATGTTTTTAGCCAAAACGATACCGAAGGAAGTGGGCTATTTTGCGTATGATGAAAATTCTAAGATTCCTCCACCAAACGATGCAAAGTCTGATTCAGTCATGATTTTTGATGACATTGCGTGTGAAAAACACAATCACATTAGAAACTATTTTACGATGGGACGTCATAAAGACATTGACACATTTTATTTAGGGCAGACGTATAGTAGTATTCCTAAACAACTTATTCGAGACAATTGTAATTTTCTCATCGTTTTTAAACAGGATGATATGAACTTGCGACATATATATCATGATCATGTTAATACGGACATGTCATTTGAAAAGTTTAAGGAGATTTGTCAGTTAGCATGGAAAGACAACCACGGCTTTGTAGTCTTGGACAAAGATAGTGACATTGATAAGGGCAGGTATCGAGTTGGAATTGACAGTTTTGTTCAGGACTTATAATGGTACGCATCTATTCTTACAATGATTTAAGAGGGTTCAATACTAGATTGCACAATGTCAAGTCAAATTTGTGCACGTTTTACTATAAGGACAAGAAAAAGTTTTGTGGGAACTACTGCAGTCGAAAGGGAAAACACGGGTATCTGTTCAATAAAAGGTGTTGGAGGCATAAAAAACCACAGAGATCAGCTCTTATACCACCGGTAGTTTTACTAATGATATCAGCTAGTGAACGGACTTACAATAGGGATATTTGGGTGAATTTTCTAAACAAATGTGAAGAGAACGGTGTACCATTAGAGTTAGTTATATACCACGAAGATATGAATAACTCCACAGTTAGAGATCCTCAAAATTTAATATCTAGATTCAGACCGTTCCCTGACATATTTGGTGGGGTACTTCCTTTACGTAATCAACATGGTAGTGTAAACTTTGCGCAAATTGTACTCAGACTGCTAGAGTACGGATGTAAAATACCTCATGCTTCGCGATGTATTGTGCTCACCGAGCGTACTATACCAATAAAACCACCTTTGAATATTTACAAAACAGCGATGTCTTTAAATTGTTACATAGACATTAGTTACAACACGGCTTGGGGGCCTGTACCAGACGGTACTCCAGCAGGACCGAGGGGAAAACCATTTGCAGCTGTGAACAACTATTGTCAGGGACTGTATACGGTGGAATTTCTCAACGAGGCTCTACCGACAGTTCCATCCCAATGTGAAAGGTTCGGAATATCGTTGAGTAGGGGTGTGTATTCTGTAACTAACAGAGCGTTGTTTGAACAATGGTGGACCTATACAGGTACCAACCCATGCGAGTTTTGGCTTTTGAATTCTTTCCTTATGTACAACAGATGTCATGATAAACCAATGGCTATGCTTAAGAAATATATGGAGAAAACTGTGGAAGCTGACAAATATATAGTGACACACGTGTCCGAGTGGAGAAATGATGTTAAACGGGCATGGGTTTTTAAAAGTTTTACTCGTAAACATGTAATCCCATGGTTCGATGCACGAGAAAAAAGGTACTACAGTGGGCTTGATTTTACCAATGGTGTATCTCTGTATGATGTAATAAAGTATGTACGGAGACACAAGAAACGTGCTATGTTTTTCAGACAGGTAGAGCTACCATAAATTAACCTACAGGAGTAACAAATGTCATTTTCAGTAATGAAGCGGACGGAGAAACATCTTACTTTACGAATAGCCAAATTAAAGGAGGCTATCCGGCGGAAATTCAATAGTTTTAAAACCGGTATAGTTGAAAGTGAAAGGTTTTTTGAAAACAAATACAAACCGATAATATCAGAACTTAAAAAAACAAACATGTCCTCAAAGGATGAGTTTCTGATGGGTCCAAAAAAGGAGGAGGAGGAGGAGGAGGAGGAGGAGGAGGATGATGAATATAATGAAGAATTAAAGGAAGAAATGGACGAGTCTTTTGAAGAAACACCACAGAGTGTGACACCGATAAGAGATACAGGTAGTGCCTCATCACTTGACAATTTACTTTCAACTCCCTCAGGCAGAGAGACCGTTTCTTTTTACGTTAATGAACACTTTGAGAACAAACTCACCAAGGAGTATATGGACTTGTTTTTTAGGGATCGAGGAGGTAAAGCCACAAAAATAGATCA